TAATTATCTTTAACTATAAGTCTTGAATTTAAGACTTGCTAATATTATTACCAAATAATTTCAAATATGAATTTGAAATTTTAATAATTTTTTACTATAAATGAAATTACGGTTAAAGGACAAAAAAACAAAAAAAAAAGTTTTAGAAAAAAAAGTTCTAATAATATTCTTTGTTCCAAAAGCCAAAAGTTCCAATAATTCTTTGTTCCAAAAATAAGAAGGTAGAAAAATTCTTATTTCCAAATAACAAACAGTCCAACATTTTCTTTCAAATTCAAATTCAGAAACCTTTTCGGCTTGTATTCCGTCACTTCTTAGAATTACGAAAACAATATGGCGGCGAACAAATAAAACAGCTGATCCACTTGAAATTTTATAATTCGTCTAAATTCCAAATTAAACGGAATAAAATGACGGTATATTTTTAAAACAATTTTTCCCAATGGCAAGAATGTGATCTATGTGTAAATAATATTATTAAATTATAATTCATTTAAATAATTTAATTAATAAAGTTAAGCCATTTAATAGAATTATATTTCTTAAAAATTTACTATTTCATTAATATTTCTGGTCATTTCATTATTAATAATATGTACAATACAATTAATAATAATTATTATTAAATTAATTGTTCTAATGAAAGTTGAAGATAGCCATTTTGGATTCACCATTTTGAATTTCCACCTCATATTCGTAATCAGCAACCTCGAAAACCCCTGATTAGTCATTTGCAAATAATTTTAATCAATTTTCGAATGTTGATGAATGGGTGATATTATGGCGTGGTCGGATGCATCAGTAAACGGAGGGAATTCTGTTCCAATTCGTGCATGAGTAATAGTTATGAATATAGCACTCACACTATATAGTGTAATTTGCTCGGAATCCATGTTAAAAACGCTTGGCTTCGTTTTATAAGCTGTACAAGAGATTTTTTCAGTTGCGTTTTACGCACCATCTTTTGTCATTTTTCATACTATGAATTAAAAATCCTATAGTGATGAAAGTAAAAAAAAGTTTTCACATACACAATGCTGAATCGACTGTTGGATATTGGCGGTCATTACTGGTATTTTTTTAACATACACATCAATAAAATTTTCTGCAAGTTTGCTGAAAATTTGTGGCAAATAGGAAAAAATTCGTAAAATAAATTTGCGGAAAAGTTTTACAGCAAATTAATAACTTTTGCACGGTACTCTGGAACCAATTTAATAAATTTTTTCATTTTTCCGCCATATTGAATCCGCCATTTTGAATTTTTTGAAAACTAACATCGTATTCGTAATTAAAGATCTCAAAGACACTCGAGTAAAAAAATTTAGGCGAATTCAATAACATTTTTGTATTTTGAAATTATAGTGATCAAAACTTTCAAATTTTACTTTATATTTGACGCCATATTTGGACCACCATCTTGAAATTTTTAATTCTACTTTACGTTTCTTAAAAGTACACAATTTTTATGCACCTATGGTTGAGAGTTGAATTTCATTCACAAACGTTTCATGGGAAAAAAAATTATCAAATTTGAAGAAATGAAATTTTTTTGGTGTTTTTTTTAAAATTAAAACCGCCATAATTAATTTCGGGTTGAATGAAATTTCTTTTTCACACCAAAATCGAAAAGAACACACTCAAAACCTATAAGAAACATACTTTTTCTATTTGTTAATAGAAATATCAAAATTTAATTTAATACTTGTTTATAAAGCTAATTTGAAGAAAATAAATCTTTTGGAGTAAAAGTAAAAGAATATTTATTTTTAAACTAAAAACATAAGATTTTTCCCTAAACGGTAACACTGACGAAATTTTTTTGCATGAACTTGTTACTTCACTTTTCTAAATAAAATTTATAGAATACAATAAAATATTAATGAGCCAGAAACTTTTAAATTAATTTAAAAAATCAACTGTTTATATTTACCCCAAATAACCCTAATAATTTTGGATAAAAAATAATTGTATATTTACACGGAGTTAAAAATACCTGATCTTGGTATCATTTTAGTTAATAATACCAAATTATTGAGTATGAAATTATGAACTAATAATTTTGGATATATTAAAATTTTGAAGAAATTAAAGATGTTTGTCACTTAATTCCTTCTAATTGATCTTAAAATTATTCTACTAATGAATATTTTGAATAATTTCTGAACATTTAAAATATCAATAAATTCTTAATTAAATTCATATTATAAATATCCAAAATAGGTCATTCGATATATATTTATAAAGCGCCTATGCAATGAGTACAAAATATTAAAACTTAAATGATGATTTAATAAAAAAAACCATAAAGTCATTTTTTTGAAAATTGCTAATTTTTAAAATGTTATTTTTAATGACCCCAAGTAGAGATGTTCGATGCCCTACCAAAGTTTATTACCAGCATGGTAATGACAGTCAGTATTGACTTTCGGAATCAAACAATACTTGCATTACAATGGCATACACACCGAATCAGTACTATGTCAGTGTTAGAAGAGCAATAAAAACAGTCTTGGCAGTAAATTAATAAAAATTATTAACTACATCATTATTAATTTAGTACAATTGATTTTAGTTATTAATCAAATTTTGAGCATTGCGTGCATTTTTTATTAATCTACATGATTTGACACGTCAAATTATTCAATTTTCATTAATTTTTGTTTAATTTATTTTTTGTTTCAATATTGTACAGAAATGTTGTTGTAATATTGCGAGACAAAAAAGCTATAAATTTTCACATTTTTAATCCTTGTTACTTTTTATAGGAGTAAATTGTCTTAAAAATACTGCGTTTTTGTGATATTTCAATAATTTTTAACTTATTTTCAGTAAAATTGTATGTTAAATACACAAGTGATACATTTTTTAAAATTTATAACTTGGATAAAAAAATATACACTATATGTTTTAACATCCTAATCATTCTTTAAAAAATGAATCCTCATAGAATTAATGTTCAAAAGTGCACTTTGTAAAATTAAAAATCTCTTAATTATTATTTATAGAAAGATCAAACAGAAAACTGTTAGGCTTCGAAAAAAAGTTTTACAATTAAAGATTGTAAAAATTTTTTATTGCCTTTATTTATTCGAACTGCAGTGTGTTCGAACATAAAAACTAATCATTTTCCCCTTTAAACCCATATCTCTGTAATTAACTGCTTTAGGGATATTCAATTTGTACCCACTGCACAACATGTGAACCACACCTTGTCTCTCCTATTAAAGTAATAAAATAATTCATTATTATTAACTTATTATTTAATATCGCGAAAATAGAAAAAAATTTCATACTTTATTTACTATATCCGTTTAGAAATTGCCAAGGTATGCCTAAAATTAATATCGGGCCATACTGACGACATCAATTTTTTAATTTTGACATCAAATTTGGATTTAGTGACCCCAGAAACCCCCGAGAAATTAATCTCGATCGAATAGCATCAATCTTTCAACTATACACCATACTGGATCCGCCATTTTGAATTTTGAAAATCTGACATCATGTTCATAATCAGTGACCACAAAAACCCCTGAGTAACGGACTCTGATAGATGTAATGTTGTTACTCGTTTTTTGGGTTGCTGTTTACGAATCTGACGTTAATTTTTAAATTCAAAATGGCTGATGCCATTTAATTAATGGCATTAATTTATTATTAATTAAAAATTAATGGCCCATTAATTTTTTTAATTGAAATTATTGTGTCATTTTCGACAGAGATTTAATGATATTAATAAATAAATAGAAGTTAAACACTGTAGGAGATTTTTTTGAATTTTTATCAACTCTTCCCTACTTAAAAAAATTTTTTGAATACATATTTGCCTTCCCTCCCCGAAAAAAATACTTTTCTACGCGTCTGTGTACATTTCTGCTGCCGCTCGAAAGCTCCCTCCGCCGCAAACTATGTAAACATAAGCCTGGCGATAGGGCTTCTAGTATACTAGAATATACAATACAAAGAGATGTATCACTTGTATTTGGAATTTTTAACCAGAAGAGAGGGGAACTGCAGAAAATCTCAGCTAGTACAGCCGGTTTGTTGACTGTCGAGTTAGAAATGTACGTTTGGATAGTCATCGCAAATTCAGAAACACATCCTAAATGTCTAACTTATCGCTTAATATATTTCGACCGCAGTGAAACACTGTGTCTATAGCGGGAGTTGAGGTGCGGTCACCCATCTAAGTATTAACTCAGATAGAAGATGCTTAACACCGACACGACGATCCCGTAAGTCACTCGAATTATATCGTCGGTTTCACTCTATGTGTATAGGTGCGCATGTGAGAGAAAATCCTCTTACCCTGATCTTTCATCGAGAGAATATATTTCAAAATTCTAATTTTACAAAAGCGATGAGTAAAAGTTTTTTAATTTTCTTAAAGTTTCTTTTCCGATTAGAACTTTTGTCAAATGATTGATTTTGCCGCAATTTTTTCGGAAAAGAAATAAAAAAATCTCTTTACAAATTAGTATGTATATCACTTATAGTATAAGCAAACTGATGATAAATCACCAAAAAATTTATTTTATAAAAATTTAGAAATACATAAAAATTATTTTATTAACGAAAATTTTGCATTAAAATGAGTTTGTTGAAAGATTTAAAGTTTTTGATAATGAAAATTTCCTTTGTAATTAATCAAGTGAAAGTAATTACTTTACTGACCTTAGACTTAATCTTAAAATAAGTATCACGGTCGCTGATTACGAATTTAATATCAGATTTTCAGAATTCAAAATGGCGGATCCAATATGGCGGACGAATTTTTAAAAATTATTTATTTTTTATGAAACTTCGAATCCAGGGGTTTTCAGGGTCGGTAATTACGAATCCGATGTCAGTTTTTCAAAATTCAAAATGGCGGATCCAGTATGTTGGACAACTACTTTAAATATCGATTCAATTTACTTTCTCGCGATTTCTAAAATAAATATCGGTGAGTGTACCAAAATTTACACCTTAAATTTCACGAGATTTTTATGTTTCAGGCATGAAAAGAAACACAGGCCTCCAGATGACGTGAGTGATAAGCAGCATGCTTGTCCATTCGACGGCTGTCAATTTCGGGCAATTTCTACTGGACATATCAAACGCCACGTCCGTACTATTCACACAAATGAGAAGCCCTTCAGGTGTCGCTACTGCACCTATGCCAGTAGCACTCAGGTAACTATAGTTACCGTTTTCTAAAATTTGTTAATTATTTTCTGAAAACAACTTTAAAATTATGATTCAATAAGTTTTATTTTTTTTAAATTATAAAATATTATCTTTATAAAGATTCAGTGGAGAGAAAAGAATTGAAAATCAAAAGTGCCCATCTTTGAGAAATAATACTTTTTAAGTTTGATTTCAATTTTTTAGGTATTCCCATCACGGAGAAAACTGGATATTCAAAACTAGATATTCAAAAAATATATTAACTCTTAACATAAAAAATATTAAACTTTAATATCTAGATATTCAAATCACATGCTAGATATTGCCGCTTAAGATCCAGATATTTACTTTTAATATCTAGATAGCTGTCCCTATGTTAAAGAATAAAAATATTAAACTTTAACATCTAGATATTTACCTTAAATATCCATTTTTCTCCGTGATTGCAGATTCGTTATTTATAATTGCATATTTAAAATGTTCATGAAATTTCCAACAAATTCCAACAAATTTCATGTGGCACATTATTTTCTAACTTGAAATATTAAGGCCTATTTATCGATTAATTTTTTCAAAATTTTTCGTTAGAAACTATCACTAAATGAACAATTTTTAAGCCTTGTCTGATTGTGGGCAAACGATGGGATATATTTATTTTGAAATTTTTAATTTTTATACACACAGTGAAAACAGTAGGCCTTACTTGCTATTTGACCAAATCACAATTTTACACACAAAGAAGGTTAAATTTGGAGAGACTCAGTTTGAAAACATATTTGCTGTGAAAAATTTGTGTGATTTTGTCAAATGTCAAGTTAGGCATTTGGCCACCACTGCGTATATAAAAATTAAAAATTTCAAAATAAATATATCCCAACCTTTGCCCACAATCGGATAAGCCTTAAAAATTGTTAATTTAGTGCTAGTTTCTTACAAAAAATTTTGAAAAAAATTCATCGATACATACATTGTTAAAAATGAAATATTATTTTAAAAATTTTTAAATCTTATCGTAAATTATTTTTAAATTTTTTAAAAATATTTTTATTAAAAACTACGTGTGAAAACAAAACTTTTCATTATAAAAACGTTGAATTTGATCAATTTTTGACCGAGTTATAAGCATTTAATTAAAAAAATTTACATATAAACGTTATTTTTCAAAAATCTGTATCTCCTGAACCGCTTTATGAAAAAATTTGAAAAAAATCAAGGTAGCTAATTTCAAGGAGTACTAAAAAAAAATATTTAACAAAAATTTCAGATGCAAAAGCAAAATGACTTCCGACTTGGAGTGGAAAGCTTCATATAGATTATAAAATTAGATACTTACATTTTTATCATTTCAAATTACTCTTTGAGAGGATATTTTACTCTGGATTTAAGATCCTCTTATAATAAGAGGAATTACTTCTAGTAAAAGACATTAACTCTTAGTATTATTTTTTTCGGTGTAATAGGAACATTTCGTGATTAATCAGTGATTTTTGCTGATTCTGGATCTAGATGAGAGAAATAAATATTTAGAAACGGTCCAAGGAATAGAGATAAAGAAATAAGGGAGCTTTCGGAAAAGTTACAGTCGTAGAGTATAACATTTTGGTTGAAAAAACGATTATCTCAGCGCTAATGAAACTGGACATGCTCCAGCTGCATTCCCGCATCGCTTCATATAAAGTCTCTATACTTAGTATACCTTCGACTGGTAACGGTTGTAACGCGTTTCGAGAGGCCTCGTAAATCTCGTCTACGGCTTTGATTAACCCTATCGGGGTACTTGGGGCTTAAGACTCATTCATAAAAAGTCGAGGGACCTACCGCATTGCCTGTGACACACCTTATTCTTTCACTCGCGCGTGCATTTTCTTAAGGAGTGCTACCGGCAAGTGTTGCAATGTAACACGCATATATATAAGTGTGTGCCGAGAGCAACCATACTTTCCAGAACATGGAAAATCCGCTCACACTTATCACAAATAAGTGTATAAAGAAGTAGGCAATTTTTATACGGGGCAAGTTTTGGGGTGTAAATTAACCGAGGTACACCTTAATGTAGGGATCGAGAGGAGACAACCGCCGCCGCCGACACTGCGGCCAGAACGCGATAAGATAACGAGTTAATTGTGCTCACTGGATGCCCACACACGCTTATAGGGCCAGTCATACCGCGGCCGGTATGCTAATGCCCTTTGATGCTTTTGCTGAGACGCGCCTCGCATATACGAGGGCTTCGTGTCTCTTTGATAGCAACATAAACACATTTCAGTGGCTCTCAGACGCTCATAACCTCCGATTAGTTTACTTCTCATTGGTCTTGATTTTTTAAACTCCACATTTTTCTACTTCAACTTGTTTTGCCGTACTGAACAAGGACAAACCACGAAATCAACTAATTTATTATTAACAATCTCTTCTTTCGTGTGAAAAAAATAATAATTAGTACAAAAGATTCATTACTACATTTTTGGCGATTTTTTCTTTAATTAATCAAGTTTTCTTATCCAATGTTTATTATTGGAATATTTAGTGAAATCTGTACACGGATAGGAATCTAAACAATTGAAAATATCAAAATTTAATGAACAACATTTTTAAACTTAAGTTTAAAAAAGCGTCACACTGAATAACATGACCTTAACGTCCAAGCGAGACATTTTGAAAATTCAAAATAGCGGATCCAATATGTTATTAGTATTAATTAATTAAGAGTCTAGAATAAAGAAGCAAAAATTATTAAGCACTTTCGACTTCCTCAAACTACCCTTATTTCAAAAAACAACCCAAAGGAGTATGAATAGCAGTACTTATTGGAGAAAAATATTTATTTCATTTTAACATACAGAAAAAACATTCTTGTACATAATATTAATAATGACAAAGATCAACTAATTATAAACCACCCCTTACCTATAAAACCACTTTCAGATTTTTGTCCAAAAGGGTTGAAAATATATTTAATGATTCTGCTTACACCAAAATAATTTATAAACATTCTTTTATTGCTTTAAAATCTATAACAAAAGTAAATAACCCTTTAAAAACAACCCCTAAATGTTCAAAATTAGCACCGAATTCATAATAATCCACCCCAAAAATCCTTCAGTAACAAATTTCTAGCAAATTTTTTTAATTTTTCATAAATCGTCCGCCATATTGGATTTATATTGAATTTTGAAAAATTAACACCAGGTCCGTAATCAGCGATCTGGAAAACCTTCTAGTAATAAATTCCAATCAAATCCGTTAAGTTTTCCAAAAAATGCTGATTATTACGAACCGAATTCGTAATCAGCATTCTCGAAAACCTCCAAGTGCCAAGTTTCAAGCAAATTCATCAAATTTTAAAAAAATTGACAGCCATATTGAATCCGCCATTTTGAATTTTAAGAAATTAACACCAGAATCGTAATCAGCAAACCCAAAAACCCTTAAGTAACAAGTTTTAAGCAAATACGTTAAATTTTTTAAGACATCGTCAGCCATATTGGATCCGCCATTTTGAATTTTGAAAAATTGAACCGAATTCTTAATCAACATTCTCGAAAACTCTCGAGTGACAAGTTTTAAGCAAATCTGTCAAGTTTTTAAAAAGCTGGCAGACATATTGGATCCGCCATTTTGAATTTTGAAGTTCAGACTTAAAATGCGTAAATACCGATAAAGTTTGATGAATTTATTAATATTCTTAAATTAAGATTTAACGAATTTGCTTGAAACTTATTATTTAGAGGTTTTTGGGGTTGCTGATTACGAATTTGGTTTCAATTTTAAAAAATTCAAAATGGCGGATCCAATATGTCAGCTGATTTCTTAAAAAATTTAACGAATTTGCTTGAAACATGTTGCTTAGGGGTTTTTGGGGTTGCTGATTACGAGTCTGATGTTAATTTTTTAAAATTCAAAATGGCGGCCTTTTTTAAAAAAAAATATGTTAGGGGTTGTTATAATGGAAGAAGAAAAAATTATTGCAATTTTTAAAATGTTAAATAAATATTCTTGTACATTTTTGAAGTGTCTAAGATGTCATAATTTTTTTATGTGAATAAATAAAGTAAACATTTAGGGGTACTTTTGTAATTTAGGGGTTGCTTTTAAAGGGTTATTTACAAGTTAATTCGAGGATTTTTTTAAAATTCGTCAGCCATATTGGATCTGCCATTAAAATATAATAAAAATAAAATTTTTTCTCAAAAAATCCTGTTTAAAAAAAAAAAAAAATTTTATAACTTTTTTTATGTATGTTATAAGCAAATTCTAACTGCAGAATCTGAAAGATATTTTTTTTTGTCCGCTTAAGCATTTATGTGTTAATTCGTAGCGCATTGAAAAAAATTAATTACGTAATTTGTTGCTTTGTCCGAGAATTGTTAGAACTTACATGTTAACATAACCAAATTTGATAAATTTTTTTCATAAATTTTGCAACGTTGGATCTACTATTTTCAATTTTTTAAATTTATTTTCAGTTTCGCAATCAGCATTTCTCATTCTGTGCACTATTATATTTTTACCCTAGTTGAAATTCGTGCTTCGTACATTTTTAAACTGCTTCGTCCCCACACGTAAATACATTGAAAGGAATGCTTTGTCTAAAACTGTCACAAGTTTATGGTTGAGAATTTTTGTTTGGACTAATGTTTAACTGAGATTATGTTAACTGTTTATACGTATTTTAACTCGAGCTCCTATTTCTATCTCTCTCTATATATTAAGAGATATATCGGCCACACAACACAGGGAAAAAAGTGTTATTTCTGTTGTATGTTCTTTTACTTAATAATAATAATTTACATATGCATTGTTAATCTTATAAACAATATATATATATATTAAATATATATTTGTTTCAACTAACGCTTATAAAACTGTGCATCGCTTCCTTGAAGTCGATTTTTAATATACAGTTTTCAAAATTTTTTTTTATAAAAAATAAAAAAAAAATCTTTTTATACAACAAAAGACAATTAGTTTTGTTTTAATTTTAACAAAAGCAAAAAGTGATGTTT